TAACTTATGTTCCAGTTTGCTAAATAAGATGCCTTAAGACAGTGTTTCCCACATTGTGGAGTATGAAAGGTTTCTAGGAGGGTTGCAACTAAGGGCAAAGTATTATCAGGCCATGCAAAAAAATTTGGAAATGTCAACATCTTTTTTTATTGCTAGAATCAATATATTAAGTACAAATGATTAAATTCATATGTTTGCATATGTTGGGGGTTTTTTAGTGACTTTGAACCTGCTTCTGTCTGCAGAGTTTATACGAGGCTGTAGACTGATGCAGCCACTCAGTTTTCACTCCGTGTTCAGTTGTGATCTATATTTTGTCTTGGTACGGGCCACTGTAGAACCCCCAATTCCACCCAAAAACATAACAAAAGGAATAAGTATCCACATGGCCTTTTTGCTTAAAACTGAATACTTGATTCCTATATTTCTGCTAAAAAAATAATGCATTTTCTTCATTAAAACATATAGTGTTAAACTAATATCCAAAGCTTTGTCAATAAACTGATCTTTGGTAGCATCAGTTTTCTCTAAGAGTCCTTGTGCTGAAAGGGTTTGTAACTCAAGCATGTTTTTCAAGTTCTAATTCTGTATTAAGGAACTATTTTTAAAACAGAACTTTCAGTAATGAACTTTTTCATATACTTTTCATGTCTCCTCAGCATTCTGCAGCTCATTTTCAATAAATGCTTTAAGAGTTTGTAATACAGGCAGTCCTCAGACTTATGACACAACTGGTTCCTGAAAACCTCATCTTAAGTCGAAATGTTGTAACTCAGAACCAATTTTCTCATAAAAACAAAAACCAGTGTTATAAATGGGGGATTGGTTCCTGAACCAAGGCCTGATACCCTGACTCGGCCAACTTGTTCGCTGGCATGGCATTGAATCGGATCAAGCGTTGTAAGTCAAAACTGGCACTGTAAAGTTGAAACAAGGTGTCAATTTATAAACGTTATAAGTGCAAAATGTAACTCAAAACATTGTAAGTTGAGGACTACCTGTATGTCTTTTAGCCTTTGCTAGTCTGTTGTTCCACTTTTCCAGTTTCCTGGTGAATGAGTTCTTCACCGTATCCGTAAGCTGAAGAATGCGGGAATGAGTTCTTTGTAGCTGAGCATTTTAAAATACTAGTTTTTCAAAGCGTCTCTAGTGGGTTATGGAATAGAGAAAATCCCACACAACTTACTGATTCGTTTGATGCACTGGCTGGGGGAGTATCTAGTTGACTGCACGATTTCACAATGATTACACTCTTAATTCATACAACACAATTTTATTTTAAAATTCTTTGCTACGCATATAACACTGCTTAGCTTTAAGAAATACCACAAACATTAAGAACACAATAACTACATATATCAGAAACAATGCTCCAAATGCACTTCCTTCCCAAACAATGCTATAAGAATTAGTATTACAAAAACAACTACCATTACAACTCAGTTAACTTGGAATCAATACTGTTATTTTTCATAATATACTTACAATCCTAGAATTCTGAGAAACCAAATCCCCAGGTATACCTTCATTCTTTAGTTATGTTTTTAGGGTTGGTCTCAGCAGTGATAGGAACAAGTCCCCTTCTTTCAGTCCCTTTCGGGCGCTCTGCAGCTTCAGCGTGACTTAAGAGATTCGTGTTCACGGAGAGGGTGGTTCAGGTGATCAGTCTGATCCGGCCTACACTTGCGATTCTTCCTTCGTTGTTCTGCAAGTGAGGTTACCTCCAAATTGGGACAGTAGGTTACAGTTTTTATTGAGTGAGTTGCTGTCTTGGGCCCCTCCTACCCAAACCTGTCACTACTCCCAAATTTGGGCTCGGATCTTTCTTAACAGATTCTTTTGCTTGGTAATCAGTTTCTTTTGTTGATCATTTTAATTACTTTGGGGAACTTCCATACCACTGCAAGTGACCTTTTCTTTCCAGTTTTTTCAAAGGCCCTAGGGTTTGATCTCTCGGGATATTTGCTTAAGGGTCATTTTTAGGTTAACTTTGTTAAAGGCCTCTAAAGATAAAATTCAAGAGTTAAGACTTTGAGCAGACAGGACCTTCCGCACATATACCAAAACAATGGCCTAGATAAGAAGATAAATCTTGTCTTCTTCCTAAACTGGCTAATGGGCAACTATTACAAACATTCAAACTATTTCATTCAATATGACACAAAGATACCACTGAAATAAACCAGTTTCAAAACAAAGTTTTTTAATTATAATTTTTTCTGCATTCTTTATGATTTTTTTTTAAAGATACTTCTTTTTTTTTCTCTGAGTTCAAGCACACTTGTCAGAATTTTGACCCAAGATGGCCCCCTGGATTCAGCAGCACTTCATAATCTGAAATCACCCACAGCAGTAAAATAATCTGGCTTTTAGATTTTTATGTAGTTCACAACATTAGTGACAGCTGATAGCACAAAACGTGGCTCTGGACTCATCCCTTGAAGCTAGGGCCTCTCTGTGGATCATACAGCAAGTCCAAATAGCACCTGGAGCTTCCATGCTTATCAAACCCTGAATGGTTTCTTGTCTGCCAGCCACAGCTTTTTGCTCCATTTGTGCATAGGCCAACACAGTCCTGCCATTTCAGACCAACCTGCTGCGTGACATCAATCATTTTGAATAAATCTTTGGCCTTTTGTTAACAGTAGATCTTCATTCACTCATGGCTTCTCAAAATATCAAACGTAAGCAGCCAAAACAATCATTCCCCACCCCCAAGGACTGCATGCTGCACAGGCCACTGCATGGCACAGCCCCTATCACTAAGCCAATGCCTTGTGGGCTGTGCTGCACCTCTGGCATCTCTTCTCCCATCTTCCCATGCCCATCTCACTGCATCTTGCCAATGCTCCAGGTCACCATGAGCCTTCTGGCAATGGTATCCATGCCACGCTGCTCCAGCCCCAGTGTTGAGGGGAGACAACAGAAGCTGGAGGAGGTAGAGGGTGCTGAAGGCTCCTGCAGCAGCAACAGGAGAGTGGTGTGGGGAACAGCTTCTGATTCCAGGGGCCACAGCGTAAACACTTAGATAATGCAGGTGGCCCAGAGGCACCTCCTGACTTGGACAATCCTGATTTAGGTGGCAGTTTAAGTATTTAGTCAGTAGTTTGCATCTGTCAGTCCTTCAGTAACCAAGCACGGCATCTAGGGTTCTTTCTTAACATGTTGATTGACATACCTTTGTATAGGAGACAGAGTGTGTGTATGTATGCATATCTCTCTCGGTCGGTCGGTCGGTCGGTCGGTCTGTCTGTCTCTCTCTCTTTCTGTGTCTCTGTCTCCTGTAGTAGCAGTCTCTTGCATCATTTTAGTAAGGTAAAAATTATCACTTCAAGTTCCAGGCTATTTCTGAGAAATAATTGTTTTGTGGGTATTTTCTCTGCAGGCAGTCTGTGATTGTCATGAGTATTATTGCTAAAGAGACTTTTTAGAAGGCTCAGTGGCTGCATCTACATGTGCATTCATGTGCCTTTTCCAATGTGCATTAAACTTGGTACCTCCAGTGAGGTACTAAGTTTAATATGCATTAGGCTGCTTTTATATGCAGTAGAGCATTTGTATACCTCTTTGACTCTTAATGTTCAGTAGACTGTTTTACTGTGCATTAGCGTAATGTCGTGGTTTTTTTATGTGATGGCTTTTTATGTGATGTTTTAATGCGCAGTAAAATATTCTACTGCACGTTAAAGCATACATGTAAATGAGCCCAGTGTCTCTTTAATTTAAGTCAGTCTTGCATGGAAAGTTCTACAGGGATGTTCAAGTTAGCTATCAGTCTTCATCTGTAGTCTCTTGTTTTGAAAATAGCTTTTTAACATTTTTGTTGTGAAGTCATCTGCTTGTAATATGTGCAGACAGCAGCACTCACTTAGACATTTATTTTTTTGCAAATATACTATTTTGTTGTAGGATGGCAGACTAGCAGAAATGTTTTTGGAAAGCAATTCTAGCACTTTGATAGTTCCTTTAACCAAGAATATCTTTATCAACCATTCTGTTTAAGACTCGTTTAAAATATTGTTTTCCTTGTGCACCTTCTCCAGGATGTCAGGCAGGTCTAGCAGGGCATTACCCATAAGTGCTGCTGTATTAATTGATGTGCAAACCCACACATTCTAGGATGCAAATTGAAGATCAGTAGTAGCATATCTCATACTGTGTTATAAGATGTGGCTAGGGAATAATAGATTCTCACGGCAGCATAAAAGTGCCCCCAGAAGCAGAAAGCCTGCATTATAAAACTTTCTTCATACTGAAATTGTAATTTTTTTTTTTTCCTCTAAACAGATAACCAACCTGTGTGCAGAGGAAGCAGCAGCTCAGGAACAAACTGGACAGGTGGAAGAATGTCTGAAAGTTAATCTGCTCAAAATTAAAGCTGAAATGTGTAAAAAGGTAAGGAAAATAACATTTCACAGAAGTCTAGGGCTGGAAGGAACCTCATGAAATCATTGGGTCCAACTCCTCCCCCTTCTGCCCTCCCTGCACTGGGCAGGAAAGACTGCTGGAGTCGAATAACCCCAGCAAGATATGCATCTAGTCTCCTTTTTAAAGATCTCCAGGGTAGGTTGCCTGCACCACCGCCACTGGGAGTCTATTCCAGAGTCTGGTCACACAAACCATGATTTTTTTTCCTTATATCCAGCCTGAAACCTTCTAGGTGTTTATGACCATTGTTTCTGGTTTTTCCTTGGGGTGCTTTGGTGAACATTTGATTGCCTAGCCCCTGATGCTCTTCCCTGATATATTTGTAAGCTCAATATCCCTTAAACTGAACAAGACCCAAAGTGGCTATGCTCCTGACAGATGTAAACACTTATGGAAATGATTCATTTTGTCTCTCACAAGGGTTTGGTGTACCGTGAAGCCACAACTGTGCAGAATTCCAGTTCACCTCATTCTTAATTTGGCAGCGTCCTTTACTTTTTGGTACTAAGCTTTGCCACAGATGTCAGTGGACTGCAAGCCTAATATGTGGTGTGTTCCACAATTGTCTGTTGTCTTGCATCCTTATGCCACTGCCACTGTCTCAGTTAATGACCCAGACAGCCTACTGATGTTTTCAGTCCCCAGTGCCTTGGGCACAGATTGACACTAGCAAAAAGCTGTGCAGACTGCCCCCAACTGCCTAATGAGTCCTGTCAAGTCATGGCTTTGACTTGTAGATTAAAGCATGTATGTGGTGAATTGAACCATGCTGATCTTACAGCAGGATTTTTAGTCCAGCATACAAAAGGATTGTTCTCTGTGGTCCCTATTTAAGACTGTAATTCTCAATCAGGAAGCAGCACTGGCTTTGTTCTCCATCCTTTTAATGTGCATCTGTAATATTCCACAGGAGGTGCTCAACATGCTAAAGGAGAGCAAAGCAGACATATTTGTTGACCCAGTGCTGCACACAGCCTGTGCCCTAGACATCAAACACCACTGTGCTGCCATCCCACCAGGGAGAGGACGCCGTAAGTGTTGGTGCTTTGTTTATATGATTTCCCTGCTCTGACTACCTAAAATTTGGATCCAACTTGGAAATGTCTGAGGTTCTTTTAAATAACAGGTGCTACTGTCAGTTTTTTGTGGCTGCTTGAAAGACGTGCACAGCCACTTTTATGGCGGCAAGGGGTCTTTGCTATCTGAGTTTGGATGTCTTGCTTTAAAGTTCTGGTAAATGATGGTAAGCTGGTTTAGATCTTGCACATTCAGCTTTTTGTTAACATACTCCTCTTGGACCGGGGTTAATTCACACTAGTTACAGAAACGGTTATGTTTCTGTCCCATGTAATGTGAGACTATGGTGGTTGACCAAGCTGATGACCCTTTTAACCTGACTCTGGGTGGACACGCAACTTCCATGGAACACAAAATATTGCAAAGGATTCATCTGATAGTGCCTTACATGGACAACCTTTCCAAATAAATCAGCCCATCTGATTCAAGTGAGACAGGCTGCATGGACACAAACTGATCTTTCTGTAATGTCTTGAGCTGAACCTGACTTTTTAGCAAGAGTTAAGAACATAGGAGTTAAAACAAGTCACCTGTTTTCTTAAATAAAATATGCAGTAAGTTGTAGCATGCTATACTTTGGATACGTAATACCAACTCTTTAATTCCCCTACAGTAGTCAAAATGTATTGCCCCTTAAAACAGTGGCCAGCAACCTTACAGGCCATGAGCCAGAACAACCTGGCTCTGGTCCAGCATGGGCTAGGTGGCTTTGGTGCATGAGCAGCAGGGAACTTTCCCTGTGCTACTCCAGGGTCAGGCAGCTGGGAGCTGTGCCTATACCAGCACCACTGCTCCCAAACCCTCCCTCCCTGCTCCCCAGCTGTTGTGCAGGCACAGTTTCCAATGAGCATGGAGCTGCACTGGGGCCAGGCCACTAGCAGCTGTATTCATGCTATACTGGGGCTAGGCAGCTAGAAACTGCATCCACACTGCTGCTGCATCTCTGCATCCCACCCTCCTCCCCTGTCACCTCCCATATGTGGCACAGGTGCAGCTAGAAACTGTCTGGCTCCTGTGCAGCTCCCTACTGGCTGGAGGCTGCACCCATGCCACATCCTTGGGGAGAGTTGGGTGGTCTGGGAGAAAAGCGATGGCATGGGTACAGTAGGAAATATCCTGGCACAACTCTTTACTGCTCCACTCTGACGTGGATACAGGCGTAGGCAAAGCCTTCTGGCTCCATGGGCTAGATCCAGCCTGTAGGCCATGTGTTGCCAACCCCTGCCTTAAAATATGTCTTAATACATAATTTTTTAAGTGAGACCTTAGCTTGAATGCCAACTGCAAGGGTTAAACAGATTTTCTTTGGGCACCAGTTTTAAGTAAGGGTCTGTAAGTATTTTGTAAGTGGTTTGGCTGTATTACTTGGTAAGCATACTAGCCACCAGTGCCCAAGGGAGTCTACCTCTGCAGCACCCTCACATGTAGTGTATTCCTATTTTAGTACCATTTCTTTCCACTTTACAGAAATGTCTTGCCTTATGGAAGCTTTGGAAGATAAGCGTGTGAGACTGCAGCCTGAATGTAAGAAACGCCTTAATGATCGGATTGAAATGTGGAGTTATGCAGCAAAGGTGAGAGAGAAGCCAAATTTTAAAAATCTGCCTTGTTTTTAGCATTGGTTACTTCATTATTCTGAGCAGTAGTGGATTTAGTTAGTGATATGTAGTAGGGCTATGTGAAGCTTCATTAGCAGGTTTGATTTGGAGGAGATTCGGCCTGATTTGGTGGCCAAATCTCTGAATTCAATTGGAAACCTCTGAATCGTTTCAGAGAGATTTGGAGAGATTCAGAGATTCGGCCATAGACTGTACAGGCAGGCACTAGGCAGTGCCAGTGGGAGCAGCTGGGGGAGTGGCCAGATGAGCCCAGTCTTGAACTGGCAGCCTCAGGAGAAGCCGTGGCTTGTCCGGCTGCTCTCTGGCAGGATGAGGCAGACGGTGTTGGCAGCCCCGGGAGAAGCTGTGGGGGCTGGGTGGAATGATCAGGGAGCTGGGAGATCAAACTGGGAGCTGGGGGAAGCCCCTGTTCATTCCCCCCAGTTTCCGGGGCTGCCAGCATTCTTAGCTTACTCCATTAAAATAGAAAGGGAACATGTTGTATACTGTAGTCATTTTTTGGACATCTGATTGCCTTCCTAGCAACACCAAAATCAAACTGCCCTCAGTGTTTATAGGGACTAATTTATAAAAAGGCAGAGTACCAACAAAAAAAGCTTTGTGGATAGTAGGATAAGACACACAGGTCACAGTTGACTGACCTGCATAGAAAAGGCTGAACACAGGAAACAGCCACAGGAAGGAGCTAGGAGATCTCCAGAGAAATTGCCTCACACAAGAGACTTTCAGGCAGCTAATAGCTTAAGAGCATTCTGCCCAGTTGATCCGTTCTTGCAGGCTTACCTGGATATCCCACCGCTTGTGTTGTCATTGTGGTTCAGGGGAAGTTCAGTTACAAGAAAAGAGCATGCTGGATGTTTAGAGGAGGTGAGCGGAGACTCCTTTCCCAGCACTTAGAGCAGAGTTCTAAACTGCTCGTGATTGGCTTGGCTAAGATCAAAGTGGAAAATGAAGTTCCAGGTCCAAAAAAAAGCCCCCTGCATCCATACCTAAGTTAATTACTCTTTCTTCACTCCTAGGTTGCCCCAGCAGAAGGTTTTTCTGATCTTGCCATGCAAGTTATGACTTCTCCATCCAAGAATTACATTCTGTCTGTGATCACAGTTGGCATCTGTGTACTCTTCCTGATCGGCCTGATGTGTGGACGCATCACCAAGCGGGTGACACGAGAACTCAAGGACAGGTAGAGCCTGGACTGCCTGCTGAAGAAATGCCTGCCTAGTGCCCAGTTTGTACAGTTCTCTTCTGTATAGCCTACCCATCCCTTCTTGTGAGAGGAGAATAAAAAAAATTAGAACAGCAGCAGGTGTCGGCTCCATTTTCCCATCTTGGATCTCATCCATGGCACCTTCATCATCTTATGACAGTTTGTGTGCAGCATTGGCAGCCCAGCCAGCAGCTTTTGTTCCCCTTTGTTAGCGGACTCTCGTTAACCTGCCTGTAGACAAGTCTCTTTATTGTACTGTTGGAACTGCCTTCACTCTCTCTAAATCAGACTGACATGACCTGCAGCTCAAGCAGTTTTTAAGTACATTTTTAAAGGAAGAAAAAATATATCTGCATACCAACCATGATTTAGGCAATGATTCATACTGGCATACCTTCATGCTCTGTGACTGGGTAAACTTGAGTCAGGAAATAGAGGGTAAATTGCATCTCACCAGAGTTGGCCTTGTTTTGGACATCTTGCTCATCCTTTTCCAAGCATCTTCAGAGTAGTCACGGACAGCTTATGGACACTAGGCAATGATGTCACCCTCTATTGAAAGTCCTGCTTGTGTTACTGTGGTTGCTGAAAAAAAGATGCCCTCCAACTCCATTTCTTCCTTTGCCACTCACAGGATAGTATAAAATGGCCAGGGTTAGAAACTCCAGTGATCTCATCCTCATATGAGTAGGACAGCTTTTACTTCATTAGGCTTGGAAGATGGTATCAAGACCAGGTGCAAAAGAGTCAGTCGGCAGCATACAATGCAGTAAACATCCCAGCTACCTAGCCTGTCAACCTCTGTTCATCACTGGCAATTTGGTAGAAATTAAAGTTTCTTTATTACTTTTCTGTAGCCAAGAAGACCATTTTGAACAAGTCAGTTAAAGGTGGTAGTGACTCTGGTTTGCCCAGTGATGCTTTATGGGATTAAGGGTTCCAATTTTTTTTGGTAAAAGGATCATTTAAAGATTAGTTCATTGATTCATTGTCTTGAGTTACAGCATTAAAAAAAAACAACTAAATTTTTGGTTGATAGGTACAGAATCTGGCATCTATGGATATAAGACAGAGGAGCTGGCCCTAAATACCAAGCAGCAGAGATTTGGGGAATATAATGTGTGAAGGGTAGAAATGTATGCATCATTAATGGGAATAGGTTTTTGTGGTTGCCCATTGATGTGCACAGTTAGGTTATTGTTGCATTTCCAGAACTTGATGTCCAAGCTGACTTCCCACCTCTAGAAGGGTGTTTTGCAGAAGCAGTTCCTTTGGCTGCAGTAACTTACATTCTTTATTCCTCAAGAACGTGCAAGAGTGGAGCTTTTAGGACCCATAACAGTTGGGATCTAGGATACATTAGGCTGAGTGAAAATGATTGCACAAGAGGCAGCATGTACAGTAGGATATATAATTTTATTAACTTGTTAGATGTGTTGACCTGTGTGTGCTGGAGTAAAAATATGTGCCTAAACTATCCAACTAGGCTAACATATGATCATAACATTTTTTCCTCTTATTATTGCACTGCTAGGTAAAGTCTGAAATTACCAATGTTCTGCATTGGTCCAGTATAAGATGGGAGCTTTTCTAAATGTGGACCAGCTGACTCTATACTATGTGTACAGACTGATATATAAAATACTGTGACTGCTTTTTGCTACCCTTCTAAAATGCTGGAGAGGTGTACAAAGTTATGTTGTATGTAAATGGCTGTATTTACCCTCCCACTTTGAGGTGAAGAAAGTAAATTATTTGAGATACAGTCTTAGTTGTGTGCTGTTGACTGATTAAAAAAGCTCATCTAGTAAGACTTGTTGGTGTCCAGAGCCTTGGACCACAAGAGGCAAAGGATTATTACAACTAGGCAGGTGATGGACAAAACCTTAGTAGCAAAGAAGAGTCCACAGAAGAAACCTGGCATCTTGCTTTATACGCTGTAGATTTCTAGATGGGTGGCATGTTAAATCATGTTGAGAAGAGAAATAGAGCATGAATTCCCCTCTACTTTGTCATTGCCAAATATGTAGCTACAGATGAGACTTGTGCAGAATCAGTGAAGATGAGGAGTAGAGAGGGGGATGGCTGGTCACATTACTCTTGTAAAACTGGAAGCTTGAAAAGGTGTGTGACACCCACTAGAATTAGTTTGGCAACTGCAATAGCATATAGTTTAAACTGACACTCCAGACAAGTTGTTTTAGTGCTTGGTGACTGTCAAGATTACCAGAGCAGAGGAAGATTCATAGTGCTGGAGAGTGGGAGAAGGAAACAAATGAGACTACATATTCTCCCACATACACAATATTGCTTACTGGGTAACTAGCACTGCTGCTTGTATTTTCCTTGGACAGAATTCAATTGGTGTCCAGAGACTTTTTTTTTTTTTTTTTAAACTATTGTAACTGTTTTTGAGGGAGCATTTGTATCCTGATCATTTTGAACAGCCCAAATGAGACTGTTCTGCACCATCACATATAGCATTTTCCAGTAAATCCCAAATGACATTGTAGTGAAATACCATAGGTTTGTCAACCATGGTTTTGGCTGTGAATCTTGTAGATTGAAGTTGGTTAGGGAGGGAAGAGAGTTGCTTTCTTTACTTAAGTTCTTATTTGAGTAGATGGGGAAACTATTGATTTCTCTTGTCTTATGCTGGTTTGGAAACAGAGTCCAACAGAGAGCATGCTGGAGTGATGAAAATGGACCAGTCATCTCTTTGGTGTTATAATGAAGAATAGAGTCCAGAATTGAAGAGTGAACATCCATTTTCTGGGGTCAGTTTTGATCTGTTCACTTTGTAGGGTCACTTCTGTTCAGTGTGTGTGCGCATATGTATATGTTTTGTTTGAATGCAGTATTTTCTGCTTCATTACTTACTTATAATCACCTATGGTCATCATCTCTTTCATAATGTAGTGTTGAGCTCTCCCTTCTGGGTACTGTCAACTAGATTGTTTCGCTGACATGAAGTCTTTGCTGAGCAAATATCAGGTAGGAGCACCACTTTTTGTGAATGGCATTAAACATGTGCAGTCTACCTAGTATGTTTGTATTCTAAAGGTTACCCAGAGGCTTGGTTTCAGTGTTAATGGGAGAAGAGGCAGATGAAGGTTTTAATTAAGTCAGAAAGCATGACATGCAATATATTTCTAGGTGTCTGCCTTCTGTGACAGAACAAATGTATAAATTAAGAACAAAGGAGATGCTCATATCTTGCAGGGAACTCGCAGCTTATGACTTTGGATGGAGAGCTCTTGTAATTGGCTGCCAGAGGGCAAACCATTGCATAGTGATTAAGGTTTACCTTCTGCTTACCTGGTTAGGAATAGGACCCTGACATAGTTGCATGCTGGACAAGAGTTGCATGCTCCCTTGTAGGGATATTAGAACTCTCCCAGTGCAGAGTATCTAGAGGTGCCTTCTTAGTTTTTTGCTGTCAGAGCCTACAGAAGGCCTATTGGAAAAACATAAGAAAATAATCAATCCTATTTGAACGAGGATCAACCTGAGGGCTGACCCTCAATCTCTGCTGTCAATCCAATGCCTAGGTCCATAGAGGAGTATCACTTCTTATTGCAAGGATGGAAAGTAATGGTTGTAAGAAATGCAATCCTGTCCTCCTGAATTTTGGGAAGATTGTTTTTTTTTAACTTATTATTTAGGATTAAGGTATTAAGGAATCAACTCTTTGGAAATTAACCATTTCAGAGAGGACTTGGAAGAGGACAGCTCCTAGATTGGAGAGGGCTTCTTTGCTGTTTCTCCAGGTTAGCTCTAATTATTCATCACCCCTATCCTCAGTATTGACTTGGCTTTACAGTCTTTGAGAGAGAGGCAGTTGCTTTTCATTCCATGGGTCTTTCTCATGGGTGAGAATTTCTTCTCTGAAGTGTGACCTTGGCATTGTAGAGCTGAGGCTTCTGGGGATGACTGATGGCATCACTATAATCAAAGAAGTGATAGTAAAGTGTGTCACTCTCCAACATCCCGCCTTCCCTTTCTGCTGAGATGTCTAACGGGATACTTTTATTTTTACCATACTGTCCATGGCATGTGTTTAGATAAGATGGGAAGGATTTGTGTCCCAGTACTTCACTCTGGTTTTTTGGGTGGTATTTGCTTGCATCTTTTTTATAAAATAGCCTTATTTATTGTTTACTTAATGGGTTACATTTGATGCTTGATTTTTCTCTTTCATGTTTGCTTCTTTCTGGTTAGTTGTCTGTGGGTTCTTTTGCCTGTCTACTTGCCTTCTTCCCATCTCACTATTTGTATGCAAAATTGCTGCAGTAACAGATGTGGATGGGAATAACATTTTCTCCTTTCTTGCATGTAACTCAGTCAGTCTCTTGGGAAACAAGTGCTAGTGTCCCTCTGCCACTGCAAAATAGCTCAAAAACTATTGCAGTCCAAGTAGTTCTCCAGCAAGTGATACATAGGGATTCTCTCCAGAATGACACTTGCAATCCATAGAGATGGAACCATCTTGACCCAGACAAAAGCCGTTGTGAGTTTGCTCTGTGAAAATGCTGTATGTTGGGGAGAACTGAATAGGCAGCAGCCTTCAAAGGATAGTTATTAGTATAGATGTTTTCCTTTGAGGTGGAAGCTGTGGAGAATAAAATGTGATATGCAAACTTCAAAGGCAGAGAACTAATTCCTG